TACCTTATTTAGACAAACTGTTACTAGCTCAGCGATCACGCAACAGAGACGTGGTAAATCATTTGGTTTGCAGTAACTCTTTGTCATACCTTCGACTGTAGACTTGGATTTATACCCATTGCTGGGTATCTTTATCGAATCCGATGATATCAAGTTCAATATTCAAGCTCTTTAGCATCATATCCATCGTGAAACTCTGTAGGCAAATGTTAGCATAAAGAGAAGAATATCACACAGAAAACATAGAAGAAAAAATCACAAAGAGAAAAAGAACAATCAAACCTCGCCCTCATCACCTTCCCCAATTTTATCTCTATTTCCATCCTTGCCATCACTCCTGCGCTCCAGCCCCTCAATCTCCCCCTCCATCTCCGCTATTCTCCTTTCAACCTTCCCCCCCTCACTCCCCATCTCATCCTTACCGCCAACATCGCGCTCATCCTCATCCCACCTCGTCCTCCTCTCCTGCGCTTTTCTCATATTCTCTCTCCACCCCTTCACACCACCCATCCTCTTCACCCTCTCCTCAGCGCCAACGAACAGTTCCTCCGCCGCCTCCCGACTTGCAGTCTTCCACTTCGCAACTAGCACTTCAAGCTCCGCATCCTTCCCCGACTGCTCGAGCTTCAATGCCTGTGTAACAATATCAAGGTCCATCCGTAGTTTTGCGAGGCGTGTTGTCAGGGCAGAGTACTGCTTTTGGAGAGCGAGGAGTTCGGGAGGTGCGCTTGGTGAGGGTGTCGATATGGTAGGTGGTGGGGTTGGTGGGATTGTGGTGGGCCGCTTGATGGCTACGGAAGCGGGACGTGGGGTGTGTGGTGAATGTTGGGCGCCGGCGGAGATGGTTGTATTATTAGATGCATCGTCGACTGGAGCTATTGATTTCGACACGCCGTCGGCTTTCTCGTCGCCGTTCTCTGCAGATGTGTTTTGGATTTGTTTACGGAGTGGGGATTTGAAGGGCTTGGAGAGCGTGTGTGTAGCTTGGTCGAGTCGACGGCGTTTGGCTGCGTGAAACGACATGTCTGGTTTTCAAGGGGGAAGCGGCTCGAATTCGATAAATGTTTATCGTGATAGCATCACTTAAGTTTTTGAACGGCTGGGACTCGTACGGTAACCGTTGTTACTGCATTGACGCAGCAATTCGAGAGCATCGACAAAAGCTATCGGGCGCTGTCTTGGTTCGCGTGGTTGGCGCGAACAGATAAGATAGAGCTGCCGCGAAACCACGTGAGATGACGACATCAATCATCGACAAATATCTACGGACGTTCTCAGATTAAGGCAATAAATGTTCCACTTGTTCATAACTTAACAATAATATTTGTGATGATAATGACGAATTTATATAAATCAATTACATTTAAATACAAAGGACCACAGGGTGTTTCGTTTGACTTCAGTCTAATGACCAACTCCGCCAGCAACCCAAGCCGCGAAATCAGGATCGCCGGGGGGCGGGAAAAGTCCTCTATCCTCCTCCCTCTGCGCCCCAGCAGCAGCGCCACCAGGACCTGCGGGATTATTAGCGGGCTGCCCTGCGCCATTTCCGGCTCCAGCCCCACCACCTGCAGCATTTCCATCTACCTGACCGGGGCCTCGTAGCCCCCGTCGCTGTCGCACGTACACAAGAACCATCAAAGTAGCTGCCAGCGCGAGGATGATAAGGCTATCCAAAATGTCATCATCGATATCCATATCAAGCTCGTCGTAGTAGGTACTGTCATGGTTACGTCTGGCGGTCTCTCCCCTGTTATCAGTGGCGGCGCCGTCTTCGGATAGTATGTTATCCGGCGCATCGGGATCGGATCGGTGTTTCGATTTGTGCTGGTTGAGAACTTCATCGTCCTCTTCATTATACGTGTTGAATGCTTTAATCCATTCCTTCAGTGATCGGTGTCGATTTGCGTCTAAATGGTGAAAATAGTTTTGTTAGTGTGAAACGGCGACAGAGACACACATGGGTGGCAGTTTGAGTATGGCAAGACAATTTGCCTAAGGTTTTGCCTTGTACGATAAGTAGCGGATGGAAAGCGGTAGACTACAACTCACCTGGTTCTGATCGGATAGGATTAGCCTTTCCATGGGTAATCCGATTCCAGAAACTCCTTATCCGTAGCTTTATTAGGCTAAGCTTGACGGGAAGATAAGCTTCATCATTCGTTTCAAGGGCTAGATCGTAGAATCTCTTTGCCATATGGAAATCCTGCTCAGTGGCATAACCGTTTTCATGCATCCAACCCAGATTCCAAAACGCCTGGGCACTGTGATAGCCCTCCGCAGCTGAATGATAGCATGTGAAGGCTTTTTCAAGGTCGGGTGGTGTGCCATAGCCGTGGAAATAGTAATCTCCCATTTTCACAAGGGAATCGATGTTCGATTGCCTTGCGGAACGAGTCCAGTATATAAGCGCTAAAGCAGCATTTCGGAGTAAAGCTGGCCGGCGATTCCGGGGCCGGGGCAGAATAGAATCAAGGGGGAGAACCGACCGCTGCTCATCTAGCAAGTAGGCCACGTTCGTCTGGGCGCTCTCGTAGCCTTGTTCTGCTGCCATCATTGAAGCAACTAGTGCGGTTTCCTTATCACCATTTTCATATGCCGTATTAGCTTCGTGGAACGAGGAATGTATAACCTCTGCCTCTTCTGCCACCATTTTGTAGTACGCTGTCGCCATACCACAGTGACGCTCTTTTCCTACCCCTTGCTCAGCAATTTCAGCAAGATAGTAGAACGCTTCGATCCAACGATATCGCGCGGCCAATTCAAAGTATCGAGTTGCTGTGGCTACATCGCCTTGGTCCAGGAATAAGGCTCCGAGCCTGGTTTCAGAAGCCGGAAAGTCTTGTTCCGCTGCAGCCTTGAAGTAAGATGCAGCTTTGATAACGTCATGAGGTACGCCATACCCATTCAGATACATTAAGCCAATGTAATGCTGGCACATCGGATCCCCAAGCGCCGTTCCCCGCTGGAACCAAGTCATTGCCTTCGCAAAATTCTGATCAACCCCCTCCCCACGCAAGAACATAAGCCCAATATGCGCGGCCGCTTTTGCAGCGGTCTTCTCAATCCCTACGGGATGATTCGAGATAATCTTTCCGTCGTTAGTCCAGAATTTCTTCACTACCAAACCAAAGTATCTCAACGCTTTTCTCATGTTTTTCTTCATGTTTCTTGAACCATCGTAATGCATCTTCCCCAAGGTGAACGTCGCTTTCACATCACCCTTTTTCGATAAGAGATCCAAATATTCCAACACATCTTCAAGGCTCGAATCAGAATTGGAATGGTGGCCATCCCTATTGGCATTCGGACCAGAGCTCGAGACGCTTGCGCCTTCACCGTACACACCACCTTCATCATCAGACCAGCGATATGACTCCCTAGCCAGGATTTGACCACCGGGTGGACCGGACCTATAGTAAGCCATTGCTTGGTCCGCTACCTGTTTGTAGTAATACGCTGCTTGGTCGCAATTGCGGGGTGTTCCGATACCAAGATATCGGCGAAACGCAACAGTCATTTGAGATCTTATATTCCCTCCCATAGCTGCAAACGTATGATATAACAAGGCTTTTCCCTGATTCCGTTCAACCGCGCCTCCTATCCCAGTCGCATACATAAACCCAACCATGTACTGCGCGGTACTGTTCCCTTCCAGCGTCGCAAGTGATTTATAAAGCTCAAAAGCCCGGGGATAATTTCGTGGATGCGTAAAATTGCCGTAGAAGTTCATTTCCGCTAGGAGAAATATTGCGTCTGGGTTGTTTTGGGCCGCGGCTTCTTGAAGTAGCGATACCACCTGCTTGAGCTGAGGGGATAGTTTATTCTTCTCTCCTGCGGGTTGTGCGTTGTTGTCTATGGGTGGACTGTTCATGAATAATATATAAAAGGCCTCTTTCGCATAGTATATTGCATGTCCAAGGAACCCTGACGGCCGGTCACGCTTTTTGACTGGCACTTTCAGAGAGCGAAGAATGTCTCGTGCTGCTTCAACAGCTGGCTGGCCTAAAATAAAACACAAAGGAGATATGTCATTAAATTTGTCCAGCGTCTCTCACGTTCTCCAGACTTTCTCCGCAAATGTAGACTCACCCTGGGCCTCCGCATCTTGCTTTTTCCGTTCAGGACTTAGCCCAAGCCCGTGTGGAAGTGTGGTTTCGGACGCGGGAGGAGCGCTACTAATATCTGTAGTCGCTCCGGTTCCTTCATGTTTATCTTGAGCTTGTATAGCCAGTACCTGTATCAATACTAAGAAGACATTGTCAGGATCATAATACAATCTGCGACAAAAGTATACGTGGCGAAGGGGAAATATCCAGGGCGAACTAACACAGAGCTATTGGCAGTAGATGCCACCTCCAGGGTCGCTTCATCATGGCTGCAGTCATGAAAATGTGGTTTTAAGAATGAGTATCATTGTGACTCATACCGCTAATGAAATAACATCAACTATGGCCACGTGAAGTCGAGATTTCATTCCGAAGTTGCTATATGGACGTTCTGATAGTCGACGGAGATAGCTTGCTTTATATTATTTCTGGCCACATATTTAACTATTTATTGCGGTTGGCTGCTGCGACGCCGGCGCGAGCTGTGATTGGCTGACTCGTCCAGCTCCAACTCTCTTTCTTCCAAACCTCCAACCTTGAAACTTCCAGAACTACGATCTATTACCACCGACAAAGCAGCTTATAGAGGCGTCACAAATTGTTCAGAGTCTAGCAGTATTGCTTTATCTACTTATAGACTCGGTTTTTGAAAGCCACTGATTCACAGTTTTAAGAGACTACGCGCGACTCGGTGAGAAGAGAAATACACTGCCTCCAATGTACCGATGCGTTTCGTTATCTAACCCGGCGAGGCACTGGACTGACGCTGATCATTCCAGTCAATTCGAAAAGGATCATGAGCTTTACAGACTATGAGGTTCTCTTTCGATGGAGGTAAGTAGGTTATGAGGCAAAACTAGGGCTGGTAAACCCGCTTGAAGCTCACCCAAAGTCAAAGAAAGTATTCTCAATTCATCCTATATATACCGTACCTTATTTGATATAATATCTCCAAGTGCTAGTTAAAAAGGAGGTTATCGTTCCGGCATTCACTCCATCAAAATTTACGAAAGTTACAGACTTGACGGTACAAATGATGGCTTCTAGACATTCGTGGAATCAACCTTTCCAGTTTTTGCAACTCATTTAGAACTGCCATTGCAACATCCAAGTATTCAAGATGTCTTGGTCAATTGGCTTAAGCCGTTGCATGGTGACGCTTGCCTCCTGTGTTCTTTGAGTGTCCAACACCGGAGGCTTTCCTGAGCCTTCAACTTGCCCAATAAAAGCACCACGAAAGAAGTCAAGAATCTTCAATGCAGGCTTATCCTGCAGATCGGCCTGGGTTGGGTTCGCGATAGCTTCTAAGCTAGCGATCCACTTCTGCGGGTCAACGATTTCGACGGGGAAGTGTTTCTTGATAGCGGGTATTAGCGAATCCCAGGGGGCGGGACTTGGGTTGACGAGATGGAAGGCCGCGCAACGGACTTCCTCTTCAGTTTTTCTCCTTGATCGGAGAATATCGAGGATTACCCGCGAGATTGTGTCCTATATGCGAAAAAAAAAGGTTCAGCAGGTTTATCAATGGAAGTGAGCACCTGGTACGGGCAGGATGGGGGTTTTAGGAAACACACCACTGGAATCCAGTCCACTGCTATGGTTCCAAGGGATAACGGAAGCTGTTTTATAGTTTTCGACGTTGCAACCAAAGATGGAAACCATTCTTGCTTGTTCCACACTCCTTTTTCTGTTGTTGGACCTCCGATTTGACCAACCCGATGAATGGTGGTTGGGACGCCGCAATAGGAAGACGCGAAAGCGCAAATCCGCTCTCCTACATGTTTAGATTCCCCATATCCGGTGCGCATCACGACGTCGGCGTCTTCATATATCTCTTCCGGAACAAGCATGCCGCGTTTTGTGGTGTCCCACCCTTCAACAGTCGAAATTGAGGATATGAAGTGAATATGGGCACGATGAGTGCTAGCAATGCTAAAGTCGACAAGCCGGCGAACTCCTTCGATATGCGGTTGTTCGAATGCTTCCACTTGGTGGTTGAAATTTACCTTCCAAGCATTGTGAATTATAGTATCGACGGATTCAAGCACCCGGTCATAGGCATCAGTGGCAAGCCCAAGTCGTTCGTCTCCAAACTTTGCGTGGAGAAATTCAACTCTAGAGGCGAAAGCTTTAAAAGTTGACAGGCCTTTCTCTTGGAAACTCTTGATCTGCCTACCTGCTGCGTCCTCCGAACGGTTCAAACAGTATACCTTGGCAACCGCAGGATCGAGAAGAAGTTCGTGGAGTAAGTAGCAACCGAGAGATCCAGTCGAGCCCGTAAGAATGACCGAATGCTTTTCGACTAAATCGGTCGTGTATTTCTCTACCAGTGCCCTAAGCCTAGCGGATCGTGCGTTGTCATCCTCCACTCCGGTCCCGGCTTCATCTACCATGGCCGTCCCGTGAATGAGGTCGTACATGTATTGTGAAAGGGCAAACACAGAAGGGTGAGAATATATTTGCCTGCTGGAGAAAGCGTCCTTGCGCAACTGTGGGCAAATGGCTCGGACTGCACTATCTAAAGCCTGCCCAAGCTGCAGTGATTGGAGGGAATCAATGCCCAAAGAAAATATGTCGCTATTGTCACCAATCTCCTGCGACGGAAGCAGGCTTGAAACCACAGCTCTCACTTGCACAGCTATCTCCTTTGCAGTTGCATCTTTGGAGATAGTAATAATAGCTTCGTTGTCGGACTTGGAATACAGCGTTTCAATTTCATTGCTGTAGTCTGCAATGACCATCCGCCGTTGAACACTCCCTTTCGGTGTGGTTTTAAAAGGCTTTGAAGGCGACGAGATGCCGATTTTTGACTTCATCAGGCGCCCATGTCCTGGCGCACCCTCGTTCGCCCTCTGCACAGTTGGCCAGATTTCCTCGATGAACGCGATTTCATCTCCTGTCCAATTGTCCCAATCTAGCTCACAGAGGAGAGCTGCCTGGAACCGCCCTTGGCCCATCACCATGGCTTTTGAAACCAGCGGATGTCCCTGGATAACTAGTTCCATTGATGTCGGGTTGAATTTCTCCCCGTTACTGAGAACAATAACATCGTCTCCACGACCAATATATCTCCAAAGCCCTGGTTTCTGTGTATGGGGGATAAAAAGGTCGCCGGTGCGATATTCCTGGAGATCTGGATACGTGTGAAAGACGCCGTGGACGTACCGATTTTCTTGTCGAGGGATAACTAGCTCGAAAGTGCCATCCCCCTGGGCCCGCATGTCAACTGCGTAAAAAGGATTCCATTCAAAATATCCCCAATCTTCGCGATCTTCCGCCTTCAGAGCTGCAATCAAGCCACATTCGCTCGACCCGAGCACTGTCTGCACGTGTGTTAATTTACACAGCTTATCCCCAGTGTCGGGTGACAGAGGTGCTCCTCCGTAGGCGATGTAATGAAACTTCGCTAAAGTTTCTCGACCTAGCTGGGAGGCATAAAGATCTTCTATGGCTGATGGTGGAAGACTCGTTGAAGTGGCTCCTGTCTCAGTCACCACTGCGTCCAGCAACTCGGCCGTCAGCGGCTTTTCCGGGCTTAGTGCAAACGGCGTCCCGCCAGTAATTGAAGTAATCAATGTAAGCAAGCCCATGAAGTGAAAAAATGGGCTCATTACGAAAGCCAGTTTTCCTTGTTCGCAAGCACTGTAAACGCTGGCAACTCGCCCGGGGGGCACTGGCAGAGCTTGGATCCTCTTCTGTGCAGCGATATATCCATGCGTAAGTGGAACTGGCTTTGGCATACCTATATGTTGTTAGCGTGGGAAAAGGAGGTATGCAATCACCAACCAGATGAGTTCAGCAATTATTCTAACGTACCTGTAGTCCCAGAACTATGAATAATAGCGGCAACCTCATCCTCCGGACCTCCGTGCTGCTTCCCCACTGCTTCATACGGCACGACTTCACTGTTTGTGAAAACGTCCCAAAGGTCTGGAACGGTCCACACCTGGATGCTGGGATCTGCGCTCCGCAGTTCATTTACTTGCCTCTCGCGCTCTACACTGTAGACGAACTTCGAACATCCTGTCTCTTCGAGAAGATGGCGTGATGCCTCCACCGAATTTCGGGGTGAGATGAGTAACGGCTAAAATATCGGTCCCAACTTCTTAGCGTTCTTTTCTATCAACATGCAAAGATTTTGAGAAACAGCCTGCTTACAACATGCCCGACCTTGCTGCAAGCAAGGATAAAAGCCGCGTAGCGTATGTCGTTCGCTCCCATATAAGCCAGCGTTTCGTGATTTGAGCGAGCAGCCACATTTGCTTCAATCCAATGTGCTAGGAGATCCGTTGCAAAAGACAAGTCTTTCATTGTAATCCTGCGCCATCCTTGGGAGATGTCAGGGGACACTGGATGGATGCAGAATAACTGGTTCGGATTGTTGTCCTTGAGAAGATCAACGTCACTCGAGAGAGTGCGTGTTTCAACCTTCACGGATCCCATTTTTGAGGTAGCCCTGAGCAAATATGTACAAATCTCAATGTCCCTTCCAGATAAATCTTAGTAAAAAATCAAAAAGAGGTTTTGAAGAAATGGTTTCCCCGGGGCTTCTCTCGTGGGGAGGGGCCTGATTCATATAGGTGGTATCACACACGTCAAGCAAACGCGGGCATCATCTAGAGCTCCTGCAGGCCGCCACCAGTGCCACTTACGGATCAGAGCCCCATATTCAGACAGGTCGGCCAGAATATGGCCCTGTGAATCGCAGACACATAAAGCTATTGTTCGATTTAGCTTTCTGACAGGGCAGGTCTTTCTGGTAAGGCTACGATTTGCAGATTTGCTACTAGTTTTCCAAATTTGAGGGTAGAAGATCGCATGCAGCCCATTTATCAGTCATCAGGGTTGTTCAGCCAACCAAGGCGCGAAATGAAGTAAGTATCTGCAGCATTTGGGCTCTTGTTGCGATTTCTCATCATTGAGCAAACATCCCTCCATATGTATGGGCTTTGACAATGTAGACTCGTAAATTTGGCTTGAAGCAAAAGCCAGTTTCCGCAGTTGGTTGCACTTGATCGGCGCTTAGGCTATAGTTAGGACTACAGCCAGTAACATAATACTCTAACTCCATTTGCCTACCTTTCTGTGGATTCCGGCATGATGTAGTTAGACCTGACAATGGTGAAGCGGGAGAGAAAACCCACAGCACCATTTTCCTTTTTGCAAATCAGCTACTCTCAACGCCTATTTAGTTGAGCTTCCCACGGCGCGTTGGTGCTATGAAGACTCTTTGTGTCTTCACGCTCGAGAGGCGAACAGGCGTTTGATGATTATTGACCAGGATATATCAGTAAACAGTACATGTACCGAGCTGTCGAACCTGATGAAGACTCCGAATTCCTTGGGGACAACCTTGCTGGACTCCCGCGCGCCGCGTAGGCAGAAGGAGGAGGGTACACTGGAGACATTGTCACTGGTTATAACCATGATAAAGTAGTTATCCTGGTTGGATGATAGCCTACAGTATGTACCTTGTGGGGGGGTGTGTATGCATACGCTGCGTAGTCTATGCCTGTTCCATGTTGCACATCTGGTGATAAATATTACAAGTCTGCGGCTGGCTCCAAGTGGTTTTCAGACAACTATTTAGTTAACTAAATAACTAGTTACCACCGCTTCTGTTTTGCAGGTTGTAGGAAAGACTTCTATGGCAACCTACGATCAGCCTATCCATGCATCAAAGAGTCCGCATTCCGCATCACTCATATGCCCATGAGAGTCGAGATGAAGCAGAATGATGGTATTGTGTAGGATATACCACGAGACCTCGACCTTTCACAGTCTTTGCACTGATCAGATTTCACTATCAAATGGATTATCCGGAGAACAATTCCTGCCCTTAGGACAATCATTCCATGTATGTACTGTACATGTACATGCATGTACATACATGTACAATAATAAAAGAGAGTCCAAGACCCGGTCAATACACATAGTTATAAGACACTGGTTATGTGGCTCTACCCAATGCTTTCCGACAGCATCTGGTAAATTCCTATCGACACAAGCTCACCAACTTCTGTGACGGCAAGGGGTGGGTGTATGGAGTACTCCATCAGTATGTATGTGTGGAAAACCATGTTATTACTTCAGAAATACCTAGGTAATGTCCTCATCTAACTTACCCCTCTCATATCCAATGCAGCTTGACCATACTATACTGTCAGGTCAGTAGCAAGTTGTAGATAACATAGAGAATTTCGCGGAAGCCGAAGGAATTGAGATTTCAGGGCAACACATCAACTAACTTAGCTATATAGAATGTACTCTGTACACCCCGAGCCATATCCCCCTCCATAGCTGCCTGCCTCGGTATAGCGTTCGGGAGTCGGCTGCGGTTGATGTTTTTGTTATATGAATATCCTAGACGATGATTAAATAAATATCTGATTGGCCCAGCGCCCGGCTACATAACGTAGTTAACTAACTTAACTAACCTTTAACTTATAAATCTTGTTCTCGCCTCAGCATTAACCTCCCTCCCTAGACCGCGAACAGCTAAGAAGCCACGGGGGTTGAATGGTTCGCTTTTATCTTGAACTCTACTGAATGAACGATCAATCGGGTGGATGGTGGATAGGCGATTCACGGGTAACTAACTAACTAATAAATAACTAGTTAGTTATGAATCAACGAGATTTATAGTTACCCCATTATTGCCTACATAACACTGAAAATCCATGGCCATTTGAGGTTGAGAGGGGGATAGTGTGAGAATACATCCTTATCCCCGGCTTAAATCCTCGAGGCATCTGAGGGGTTCATGAAATATCCCCGCCTTCAAACAGCGAAATTGTGGATTTTCCCTGCCATCCTTGACTCCTTTGACTCCTGGGCAGTTGGAGTGCAGAGCTGTGCTGTGCTCTGCTGGCCATTCATTCTCTACATGTTCAGGCATCCCATCCATTTGGCCTTAATAATAATGCAATATAATGCGTGGCGTCAACCCCTCCTATCCCCTCCTCTCCTCTTCCACCTCCTCTCCCTCCTCCTCATCGCACTCATCCAAGGGCTGAATTACAACATTCCTACTGACAGTCCTCTGTCTCTTTTCGAACCTGATATCGACCTCGGTTGGTTAGTGTGTCAACTCCCAATATGATCCGAGGCTTCGTTCCTCCAATCCCCCCCCGCATTCTGCTTCGTTATCCCACATCCTCTGTCCAACTGACCTGAGGTTCTCATTGTGGCACATATTTCCATCCCTCAAATATTCTGACAAGTATTTACTTTTTCAAATAGAAACACCGTTCAATATATATATATATACATATACCGCTAATATGGGTGGCATCGACTTTACCACGTTTCGCAACGTGATCGGGGGCGAATTATGCTCCACTGCAGAAACCCGCCATGGCATCAATCCAGCAACTGGAGAACCAAACCCAGCAGTGCCAGTTGCCACTCGCACCGATGTCGACAAAGCTGTCGAGGCCGGAATGGCTGCATTCAAGACGTGGTCAAAAACCCCATACGAGGAAAGAAAAAAGGCTATCTTGGCTTTTGCAGATGCCGTTGCTGAACATTCCGAAGAACTCACCAAACTTCTTGTGAAAGAGCAGGGGAAGCCGGTAATACTACTACCCTTTTCCCTAATATATATATATATATATATATATTTTAAATACCAAACTGAGGATGTATGTATGTAAATGGGGAGTTAATTATTTTTATCTTTTATTATCTTAATAGGCCCCATTTGCTGCCATGGATATTCAGGGTGGAATCGGCAGTTTGAGAGGCACCACCACCTTGGAGCTGAAGGATGAAATTATCGAAGACAGCAACGACAGACAGGTGACTGTCCGCTACACTCCACTAGGTGTAGTGGTTGGCATTGTCCCATGGAACTTCCCGGTCATGCTCTGCATGATGAAAATTGGACCCGCCCTCATTACTGGGAATACCATCATTGTTAAGCCATCGCCATTCACCCCCTATTGCGCGCTGAAGGTCGTCGAAATCGGCCAGAAGTGCTTCCCTCCTGGTGTCCTCCAGGTGCTGAGCGGTGATGATAACCTGGGGCCCTGGTTGACCGCCCACCCTGGACCAGCAAAGATTAGTTTCACCGGTTCATCCGCGACAGGGAAGAAGGTCATGGAAAGTGCGAGCAAGACATTGAAGCGGATTACTCTTGAACTGTATGTTTTAACGCGGTTCATATATGGCAGCCTTTGTGGTTTTGAAAGGATCTGTCTGAAGCTAAAACTATTCCTACCATCACAGAGGCGGGAATGACCCTGCAATTGTCTGCGCTGATATCGATATTGAAGTCGTGGCTGCGAAGGTTTGTATTTTACTTGTCATATCCCCGCTGAACAGGCTGTTAACTAACTGGTAACTCATAGGTCGCAATGGCTGCATTCTTTAATTCAGGCCAGGTATGTACTGTACATACCTCTCCTGGACTCGCCAATCTTGCCATCAATTAAAATTTACCCAATCTGCAAATTGTGAAGAACGCTGGTAAGCGAACTGATGACATGGTTTCTCTAGGTTTGCATCGCAGCCAAACGAATTTTCGTCCACGAGTCCATTTATGAGAAATTCCGTGCAGCAATCGGTGCCGCTACTGCGAAGCTCGTTGTAGGCGAGGGTAACGAGGAAGGTGTGATGATCGGCCCCATCCAGAATTCCATGCAGTACGAGAAAGTCAAAGGATTCTTCGCCGAGATTGAAAAGGAAAAATTGAACGTTGTGACGGGCGGAAACGCCGAGATCCGGAAGCCTGGGTACTTCATCCAGCCCACTATCATCGACGCGCCACCTGCTGAGTCGAGGATTGTTACTGAAGAGCCATTCGGTGAGTTTATGTTCTGCAATATAAAAGCAATGCCCAGTTCGGAAAGGTCCCTTTACAAAACCTTCTACTCCTTTTCTTCATGTCCTCGTTGTGTTTGCTGCTCATTTCTGTGTTTCTGGTTAACCCCCGCAACTTTCCCTTGAATACAAACACGGAATTAACACCCCATCCCACTCTAGGCCCAATCGTGCCCCTCATTCCCTGGAAAGATGAAGCAGCGGTGATCGAAGCCGCCAACGACACCAAGATGGGCCTGGGCTCCACCATCTGGTCCAACGACCTGGTCCAGGCACGCCGTATCGGTGAACAGATCGAAGCGGGCATGGTATGGATCAACACGCACATGGAGGCCAGCCCTGGCGCGACATTTGGAGGCCACAAGGAGAGCGGTATCGGGTATGAGGGTGGTGTTGGTGGCTTGAAGAGCTACTGTAATGCGCAGTCGATGTATATTAAGAAGACGAAGTTGTAAAGGAAGGGAGGGGGGGGGGGTGGTGGTACCTGGGGCAGTGGGGGAGGGAGGGGTTAAATAGTGTGTTTATTTGTTATTGTCGTGATGATTGTTATTATTATGATGATGAGGATGATGAGATGGTTGTTTTATTGCTAGAGGAAGATATACAGCTGCGATAGCCGATGAAACCATGTTAACCATGAGCTGTGAATATAGTTTTCAAAACCATACGCTTACTCCTATACCTCATCCCCATCCTCATCATTTACATCCGCAGGCATGTACTCGGGAACGGACTATAAATAATTAAAATGTGGCGCACGCGCAGCAGGATAAATGAAATGGATAAGGGCAGGGGAACTTGGGAACTTGGTCGAGCTGTATACCTACCTACCGAGCAGATGACCGTGCGTGAGTGGGTGATCGGGGTGATCGCGATCGGCCAAGTCGTCCATCCTTCGTAGTACGGAGTAAATAGTCTCGCGATCCTCTGAACCCTTTCTCCCCCCTAAACCCATCACCTCTCTATCCAGCTACATTTCCAAGCACCGGCTCAAAGCCCATCTCCGCATCCACTCAGACCCAACGATTTCCATCGCAGCGAGTCTCTCACTCGGCCTACAAGCCAACATGCCCCTGAACATAGCAAGCAGGGCGCTCTTCCCGGCTTCTCCCACGCTCTCCATTGCACTTTCACCCCGTGGGTTCATCATGTATGGAATCAACG